GTTGGTTAATTACTATTGGAAAATGCTTGTCATTCCTCTGTAGCATCTGGTCCCCACTGGACCTTCATTATTTCCTTCACCTGCTCCCCCCACCGACCAAACTGTGCAGCTCTGCAACTGCATTCTGGCCCATCCTCACCCTTCTGTCCCCAACCCTCACCTCCTTGTACCCCCAATATGTTTTTCCCAATAAAAAAAATATTTTAAAAAAATAAATATGATATTGGGAGATGTGGAAAAAACTGTGATTACTATAGAAATTGATGAAGAGACATATGAATCAACAAAGCAGGATATTGCAATGCTCTTAGTTCAGGGAGATGGTGGTGTGCTAGCGGCCCCTCCATGGAGCTGACGGAAACAAAGAATTTGTCCAGTGTGGAAGAGACTTTGTAGTCTCCGTAATGTAGAATATAGTCAAAAGAATAAATTTGGATGACCCATGATTTCTTCCAGTCTTAAAGGGAGGCAACTTGTAGATAGCTTACAAGCTCTAGGCTCGATGGCATTTTCACTTTTCTCCAACTTTTCAAATTAATAAAAAAAGTTTTGTCTTTAAATTAAATCTGATTGTTTTCCCTATATATAATGTAAATCATAAAATAAATATGTGTATGTAACTGGAGAAGAAAAGGCAAAAACAAAAGCCCATTACTGTGGGTTCTGATTCACAGCGGCCCATATTACAGATTTGAACTGTGCTCTATAGGATTTCCTTGGCTATCTTACCTATGGAAGCAGATTGCTAGACCTCTCTTCCATGGCACTGCTTGGATGGGTCCAAGCTGTGAAAATAACCACTGGCAGCTCCCAAGAAAAGAATAATAAATTTAGTACAATACTATCCTTCATAAGTTCATAGAGCCTAATAATAATGCAGACTACTGATCTTGCTAGATACATCTTTTTCCGTATTATGTCAAACCATCCATCCTCAGTCATCAAACCCAATGTTTTACCTGTTTGTTTGTATCCAGAAGCAACGTCTGGTGTTTCTTCTCAGCTTCCTGAAGGCGCTGCTCATATTCAACGATTTCTTCCTTTAATTTCCCTTCCTTTTCCATCTGGTCTTTGTGTGCACAATCCAAGTTTTTCTTCAATTCACTGTTTTCTAGCATGAGCTCCTTCAACTGAACCTAAACAGAGAAGTAAAGAAATCATAGGAAAAGAAGAACCCAAACAGCAAATACTGAGTGTCAGAGGAGTGATGAATGTTCACAGGCAAAACAAAATCAATATGAAACAGAAGTATAATCCTTAGAAATGTATTCATTTAACAACTTCATCTTCTGTGATTTTTCTGCTCCAGCCCAGAACTGGCTAACCAGTGTCAAATCCACAGAACAACTAAACTTTCAGTCTGAATCAAACCATTCTTCTATAGCTTCCAGGCTCACTTAATTATGTGCTCCCATTGCAATACTTTCTTAATCTCACCATCTTTATATTCAATCTCTCCCTAGAATGTCTACTATTCATTTTCTTCCCTGACCACTTTTTTGTGTGGTGGTTGTTGTGTACAGTCGAGTCAGAACTGAACCATAGCTGACCCTCTGGCGTGTTTTCAGAGGGTGTTAATGGCACAAGGAGATTGCCCATGTTCCCGTGGAGCAGCTGGTGGATTTGAACCATATGCCTTCAGGATTGCAGCGTGACCACCTTAGATTCTATAAAGAGCTGTAAAGAGTGATGAAAAGTTTGGGGAGGAAAAAAAGTTTTGGAGACAGGGGTGACACTTGCAGATAGCAAAATGGGCACCATTTCTGGTCTTCTAAAAACTCCTTCCCTAAATGCCTACAGCTCCTCTTCTCCAACCTTTCCTCCACTATGCAAGGCTGGCACAATCACAATACCAATGCCTGTCTTTTCCATGTCTGATCCCAGAAAGCTTTTTCTACAGAAACCTCAACAAGCAATATAGAGTGTAAGAATGAAAAGCCTTTCACACTATACTGAGGATATTTCCAAACTCTCAGTACCAAAGGAGGTTTCCATAGATTCATTCTTCAAATATCAATCACAGGAAGGAACTTGTACGATAAGGTGCTGTCAAGAAACTCTGTAAATTGATGGCCAAAATTAAAATGTAAAAGTGTGTCAAGTTTGACTTGTTTAAAATCTATACTTAAAGAAGTACATTTCTCCAACTCTTTATATATGATGTTGTAGATATCAGCTTTTGGTGATAATTCATCATGACTACTTAGTCATCAGGTTCAAGAGGAATGGAGGTCATCAAATTGGCAGGTAGCAACAGAACATTCCTGGGGGTGGGGCTCAAATGGTGAGCACACTTGATTGATTGACGAGCTGATGGCACCTAAATGTACCTCTGAAAAAGATGCAGTGTGGTTCCCAAACATTATCGTCTGGAAACCCTATGGTGCACTTATCTTCTTACACATATGGGGCTGCTGACTCATAAGCAACCCCACAGGAACTTGTTTGCTTTAGGAAGAGCCATAGGGATGACTGCCCAAGTGCTGTCAACTTACCACCTTAACCCTACCCTAAACAAGTACCCCCACACAGCTCTCGCTTTACATTTTACTGTGACTTCCTTTCTGTTATTTTTTTAATACTCAGCAACTGTCAATAGATCTGTCTCTAGAAAATTCTGGCTTCTAATCTGTGGCACACTAGGAAACCAGGATAAAAGCTACTTCCGAAGAGTCCCTTTCAATGAAGTAATATTGTTCTTTCTTTTACACAGAAGCCACTCATAACTCCCTCCAGGCTCATGAAGATAGTGGGGAGTTGGAATTCTAAATCAGGCTCATTTTATTCAAAGCTAAAAAAGGATAGTATAGTCCTAACATCAGACAAAAATAAAAGCAACGGAGGTACATACACTAAGCTACCAGAGAATGATGACCCTCTCAAATATGGAAGACATATACCTGGCCCATTGACTAGAGAAATCTTTATTTGTCCCAATTACAAAAAAAGTTGATCCAATCAGACAACATCAATACTATCATATGCAAGTAAAATCCTGCTGAAGATAATTTAAAAATGGTTGCAACACTGTATCAACAGAAAAGTGCCAGAAATTCAAGATGAATTCAGAAAACACAATGGCATTAAGGATATCATACTGATGTCATATGGATCTTGGCAGATGCAGAGACTACAAGAAAAACATTTACTTGAATATTTTTATTAAGCAAAAGCATTTGACTGTGTGGCTCATACTAAATTATGTCTAACATTAAGAATGGAAATCTTAGAACACTTCACTGTGATCATGTAATATCTATATACATAGGTCAAGAAGCTAATGTCCAAAACAGAACAAGGGAACACTACATGGCTTAAAATTAGGAAAATTATAAAAATGTGTACCAGTTACCTTTTCTCCATAGCTATTCAATCTGTATGCTGAGTAAATCATTCAAGAAATTGAATTTTAATAAGAATATGGCACCAAGATAAGAGGAAACCTGACCACTAAACTACACTAAGGCAGATGACACAACTTCAAAAAGTAAAGAGGACTTGAACACTTGCTACAGAAATCAAAGACATTTACTTTTTTCAATATGGATTACATCTCAGCATCACGAAAACAAAAAATTTTCACCACTGGACCAGGTAACATGAGACAGACAGTATCAGAGAGATGAAGAAAAGTCTGAAACAAACACCCAAGGCAAAAGCAATCAAGAACTCAAACGGCATGTTGCATTGGGAAAATCTGAAGTCAGTGATCTTTCCATAGAGGAAGGATGTCAGTTTAAAGACTGACATGTGCCTAATCCAAGCCATGAACTTTTTTTTCTTCTTTTGCATCTGAAAGTTGAAAAATGAATAAGGATGACAGAAGAAAAATTGATGTCTGAGTTGTGGTGTTGGAGAAGGGTGCAGAATATCCTATGGACTGCCTAAAGAGAGAAAGAAGTCTGTTTTAGAGCAAGTACAACCAGGGTCATCCTTACAGGCAAAGATGGTGAAATATACTTTTGAGGATCTTGTTGAGAGAAGCCAGTCCTTGGAAATATACTTCATGCTGGGAAGGAGGGTCAAAGAAAGGGAGAAACTCAACAAGATGAACTGTCACAGTGACTTTACAATGGGTTCCAGCATTTCAGAGACTGTGAAAACAGCACAGGATCAGGAAAGGTTCAGATCTATTATTCACAGCATCACGATGGCAACTAACAACATACAATAATGAATCTGTAAGGGGAAAACTTACTTTGCTGCTGTTTATTTCTTCTGACACTAATCTTAACTCTTCGCTGAGTCTGTTTTTCTCTCTATCAAATTCTTCTTTTGATATTGTGGTTTTCTGTGCCATATCATGCATTTCTCTCTGCAGCTCCATTTCCTTCACAGTCATTGTGTTTACCTGAAATGTCATCTTTTGTTAGGATCTGCTTTTTGTTGTCTTTTAATGAAATTTATCACCTGACACAACATACTCCTGGCATTTACTTTTGTCAACTGTTAATACAATGGAATTCAGTTTAATCTTTATTTAACTAATCTACTTAACTAATTCTCAAATTTACTGGTAAACTTACCTTTTCTCTTCAGATATTTAAAAGTAAACAGCAATAAAGGGAAGGAATGATGAAAAAAGATATAATATTACTAAGTCTTGAAGTCTGCATAAAGGTATTTTAAATACCAGAAACAACTGTATAAGGCAGTGCCTTAGATTTTTTGTTCTTAAATCTCTATTAATCCCAAATTCCTTATTAATCTGCAAGAAAGATGCCTATGATTAGTTGTAAATGTCACTTCTAGCAAGCTGTTTAAACTTGAAATTTTCAGAAAACAGAGCTGTGATTAGTTGCATTTCTGAACCCTATCTTTTCTTTCCACTATTTGTTTAGGAAATTTATATGCATATCTGTGTATGTGTATGTATATATGCTATTGTTATATACCCACAAGTCACAATGGACTCATAGCTGACCCTCCAGCAGGTTTTCAGAGGCAGTAAATTACAAGGGAAGAGATTGTTCATATTTCTTTGGCAGGGTAGCATACAGATTCGAACCACGTATTGTTATTAATGTTGTTGTGTGTTGTCAAGTCAGAACTGACTCATTGCTGACATTCCAGTGGGTTTTCAGAGACAGTAAATCACACAGAAGGAGACTGCCCATCCTTTACCCATGGAGCAGTCACAGATTTGAACCTTTTGGGACTGCAGTACATTAAGTTATATTTAATAAAGTTATATGTCAAATGTAGTATTACATTAAATTTGATATATTTAAATATATAATCTTCAATTATTCCCATAAAGATTACTGTTACGAAAACCCTATGGTAACACAAGAGATTACCAAGTGTCAGAGGCTGATATCAACGTGCTCTCTATAAACGTGGCACTCAAAGTGATTTTTAGGGAATTTTTCTGATCCATTCAAAGACAGAAAAAAATCAGAAATGTGAACTGTGCATAGCTTTGCCTATACTGAGGTGCTATATGAATAAATTGGGTCAACCCATCGAAGTGTCCCACATGAACATTTGTCAGAGGAATCACTACTGAAGGAGCAGGTTTTATACTTCTACAGCTCTGTAGCCACCAACTCAAGGTCAATACAAAGTTGGTCCAATGTGGCAATGTTAGAAGACAACTGGCATAGTAGTTTCCCTCCCTCATGATTACTTATTTAAATTGTAAGTAGATTAAACAAATTCAAACACCTTAAAAGATTGGGTTTCTGAGCTGGAAGGGCCATTGCCTACTCCGAACGTGCAGTCTCCTGGACGATGTTAGTCAATCAATATAGTATACTTGATAACGTTATGTTCTACATCCTAGATTGGTGAATAGTGACTGGGCTCTGAAAAGATTGAAGGGTGTTCCATCTAAGATACAAATACAATCTCTACTTGTCCAGAGCAAAAAGGCAAAGAAGGAACTCACAGACAGACAAAGAAGGAAAAACTGTGAAAACCACATGTCACCTACCCTGAGATCAGAACTGGACAATGCCTGCTAACTAGATCTACCAGCAGTAGGCCATTATACCTGGGCCTAAGCAGAGTGGGAGAAAAATGTGGAATCGAACCTCAAATTCCTCTTTAAAAAACCCAAAACTCCAGAACTACTGGACTACTTGTGATCAGAGAATTCAAGACTACTGCCTTTTAAGTTTACGTCAAATCTTGAACCAAAATGAACCTGTCAGGTCACCTTGTACTTAAATGACAAATTGGCTCAAAAAGGTACTATGCTCCTTTTTAAATTTTTTTATTTTTTATCTATCTATCTATCTATCTATCTATCTATCTATCTATCTATCTATCTATCTATCTATCTATCATGCTCCATTTACCTGAAAACTGCTGGTGAGCCCCGAGAATTAAGAGCAGGGAAACTAGATAAGCAAAAACAGATTCTAGAAAGGAAATAATAAGAATGTTCATGCCTTCTGAAGAATATACCCAGTGCTACTCATTAACTTTGTCTAGATAGAAATTACTGAATGGGATCCTGAACTGCTATGTAAACCTTCACAGATTAAAATGTTATTTTAAAACAATTAATAAATTTAAATAAATTACTTTTCTTACCTTTTCAATAAAGGACATCTTTTCCACTTTCGCCAACTCAAGCTCCGTCTCAAGATCCTTGTTAGAATTCTGCAGCCCTTCCAAAGTAGCCTGGAGAGTTGCGTTTTTGGATTGCAGCCCTTGGACCTTCTGCTCTAATTCCATTGTTAGATTTCCCAATTCTGTTCTTTGCTTCTCCCAAAGTTGCTGCTCACCTTCCATTTGGGACAGTTTAGAGAGCAGCTGCTCTTGGTCTTGAATTTGATTTTTTAGCATGCCGATTTCTTCATGCTTCTTCTCTAGGTTGTGTTTGCCATCTTCAACTTCTTTACTGAGGTCATCCACAGAAGACTGCAAACACACACAATTTGTTTTGGCCTCTTCCAGGTCTTGGAGCAACTGTGCTTTCTCACATTCAAGAGAATTTACTTGACTATTCAGATTCTGTTCTTGGGTTTTGTGTGTTTGTTGGTCAAGACACAGAGTTGCTACTTTCTCTTTTAGCTCTTTCACTTGTGCCTGAAGCAACTCCATTGCTGTCTTGGAGTCTTCTTTTATTTTTACTTTTTCTTGCTCTCTCTCTTGCAGTAAATTTTCAAATGAAGAACTCTGCATTTCTAATTCAGATACCCGTTCTTGCATGGCCTGTAACTCTTTTGTCAGAGTTTCTTTTTCTGATCTTATGCTGACAAGATCTAACTCAAAATCACTCAGGCGCTGGGTCAGTTCTTCCCTTTTTATTTTGAGAGTCTCTACCTCTGCTTTGGCATTCTCAGCATCAAGAATAGCAAGTTCTCGCTTTTTGCTGGCACACTCCAGTTCTTTTTGAAGGTTCTCTACTCGATCTTTAAGCAAATCAGCATTATCAACACTTTCCTGTAGTTTTTCTAACAGATGAAGCTGTTTCTTTTCATCTGCGGCAATGCGGACTTTGAGCTTTTCGGTACTGCTCCTCAGCAGGCTCATTCCTTCTGCCGGTGAGCCCCGAGTCTCCTCTCTGGCCACAGAGGTATCCTGGTCACCACACAGGGCTGCTACCTCTTCACTCAGTTCCCTCAATTGTGTATGGAGTGACTCCACTGTAGTCTTACCTTCCTCTTTCAGCTGTGTTTTCTCTAGCTCCTTTTCTTCTAACTGATTCTTAAGGGAAAACACTAACTTGTCTAGCTCAGATACTTGACTTCTATTTTCTTGTAGTTCTTTGGTCAGATTTTCTCTTTCTGACCTGGCCGTGGCCAGATCTAATTCTAAACTTTGGGAGCGCTCCGTCATCTCCTCTATTTGTGATCTGAGAAACTCCACTTCGGCTTTGAAATTCTGGGCATCAAGAGTGGCAAATTCTTGGTTTTTCCTTATAACATCCAGTTCACTTTTAAGCACCTGTACTCTATCCTGAAGAAAAGTGGCAACACGTTCCCGTTCCTGTAGTTTTTCTAACATCTGAAGCTGCTTTTTTGAATCTGCCTTCACACGGTCTTTGAGCTTTTCAATGTTACTTCTCAGCTCATGGATGTTCTCAGTTGTTGAGTTCAGAGTCTCTGCTTGGGCTGCACGTGCTTCTTGGACCTCAAATAAGACTGCTATTTCCCTATTTAGCTCCTCCAACTGTGTCTGAAGCAACTCCACTGTAGCCATACACTCCTCTTTCACCCGTGTGTTCTCTTCTTCCTTTTCTTCTACTAGATTCTTTAATGAAGCAATCAAGGGCTCTAACTCTGACAACTGCCTTTGTTTTTCTTGCAGCTCTTTGGCCAGATTTTCTTTCTCCGACTTTATCGTGACAAGATCACATTCTAAACTTTGGGAGCTCTCAGTCATCTTGTCTATTTGCGCTCTGAGAGTTTCCACTTCAGCTTTGGAATTCTTAACATCAAGACTGACAACTTCTTGGTTTTTCCCTGCAACATCCAGTTCTCTTTCCAGCTCCTCAACTCTATTCTTAAGCAAATCTGCATTGTGCTCACTTTCCTGCAGCTTTTCTAAGATCTGGAAGTGCTGTTTTCCCTCTGTTGCAATGCGGGCTTTGAGTTTTTCAATGTTCTTTCTCTGCTGATGCACTTCCTCCCCCACCAAGCTCAAAGTCTCTGCTTGGGCTGTGCATGTTTCTTGGTCATTACATAAGGCTGCTATTTCCACATTTAGCTCCTTCAACTGTGTCTGAAGCAATGCCACTGCAGTCTTATACTCCTCTTTCATCTGTGTTTTCTCTCGTTCCTTTTCTTCTACTAGATTCTTAAGTGAGGAAAGCAAGGGCTCTAATTCCAAAACCTGACTTTGTTTTTCTTGTAGTTCTTTTGTAAGATTTTCTTTCTCAGCCCTGAGCGTGTCAAGATCTGATTCTACACCTTTCAACATTTCTGCCATTTCTTCAGATTTTGCTTTGAAGGTCTCTACTTCTGCTTTGGTATTCTCAGCATCAAGAATGACAAGCTCTTGGTTTTCCTCTGACATCTGCAACTCCCTTTCAAGATTCTCTACTTTATCCTTAAGGGAATCAGAAAGGTGTTCACTCTCCTTCAGTTTTTCTAAGACATGAAAATGCTTTTTCTCATCGGCCTCAATGCGGACCTTCAGTTTTTCAATGCCATTTCTGAGCTGGTGCACCTCATCTTGTGTTGAGCTCAGTCTCGTAGCAATCTCTCCTTTTTCCACTAAGGCAGCCTCTAAAGCCTTCGAGTGGGTTGTCTTTTCATTTTCGAGTTCGGTCAGTTTGTTCTGCAGGCTTTCTAAGTCCCTAACCAGCAAGTCTCTCTCTTGACTCATTTGTCCAACTTGGTTTTCCAGCTCACCTTTTGCCAAAAACAAGGCTTGTGACGACTTCTCCAGAGTGTGCAACTGCTCCTGGAGATGAGCTTTCTCCTGTGACAGTCCACTTGCATCAGATGACAAAGCCTGAAGGAGTGCTGCCTTCTCCTTCAGTTCAGCCTTCACAACTTCAATGTGCTGGGCACACTCACCATGACGAGACTCAAGCTCTTGTAGCTTTTCCTTCAGGCTTTCAGACATCTGATTCAGTTCTTTGTTTTCTCTTGACACAGTGTCTAGTTCTTCATGAAGCCAATTCCTTTCTGTTGTGACCACAGAGAGTTCTTTTTCAAGGTGTGTTATCACTTTCTGCTTATTTTCATTGTCTTTTTCTAAGTATAGCTTTTCTGACTGAAAAGTCTCTAAGTTAGATTCCATGGTGTGAGCACGATGCTCCATGCTGACTTTCTCCACTCTCATTCTCTCCAGCTCATCTTCTACATTAAGGAATTTCTCTTTCCAGTTGTCAGTCACCATGCCTGCACTATCTTCAGTCACTTGACTGGACTGTTTCTCCGTCATTTCTAAATTAGAATCAATGTCTTCCAAAGCTCTTACTTTTTGATGGAACTCTGGTTTATCCTGGGAAAAGGATTCTAATTTTTCACCTAAGTCTGATTTTTCTTTATTGAACTCCTCAATTCTTTTTTCCAATTCTATGGATGCTTCAATCTTGGTAATTAGCTGTACATTCTGTAAATTGAGTTTTGAGTCTAACTCATTGATTTCATTTCGTAAAGTTTCAAGTTTTTTGTCACGTTCCTCTAAGACATGAAGTAATTCCAATTTTTCATTGGATGTTTCTTCCACCTGTTGCTGAAGATTCTGAATGATGGCCTGACTCTCCAAAAAGTCCATGGGTGCCAAAGTGTTAGGAACAGAAAGAGACAGTTCAGAAAGGCACCCTGGAGATCTTGGAATCTTATCTTCTGCTGCAGTTCCATAACTGGTTTCCAGCAAGTCCCTCGAATGTTCTTCCACCTGGCTGTCTGCACCAGTCTCAGTCATTTTCTCAGTGTCTAGACTAAAGTCCTGAACATTTTTTTCACAAATCTGAAGAATGCAATCCTTTGGCATCCTTCCTTTAGATTTTGGAGTATATTCTTCTGATTCTTTTCTGTCACAACTTTCATTTTCACCCGGAATTATCTGCAATGTAATAACAGAAAAGCTTTTTCCCCCAAAACTTTTAACAGTACAAAAACCAAAAGGATGTATTTTACATTCTAGAAAATGGCTGTATGTCTCAGCTAAACAGTCTCTTGATAACTGAAGTCAAACTGCATTAATTTCCACCTCCCTGCCCTCTTTCTAGTCGGGTATCTATCACAATTAAACACTCAGCAGGTGTCTTCAAAGGCAAGGTATTTATCACTGAAGACAGTTTATCATCTAAATCCCAAATGACTATTTTTTGGTGCTAAAAATATTCTAGTTGCTTAAATATAAAAATTCTTATTACCAATTCCATACAAGATGAATCCACTCCATCTTCAGCACATACACGCAAAAAAAAATGTGAAACTCACTACTATCAATTCTAATTCATGGAGATCCTTCGTTGGGTTTCTGAGGAAGATCTTAACGGGAAGAAACTGTCCATCTTTCTCTCATGAGATGGCTGATAGACTTGAACCACAAACTTTCTGGGTAGCAGTCCAACACACTATAGACTATCTACGACCACAGCTCCTTCAGTATTTACAGTAGTATTCATTAATAAGAAGAGCAGTAAGTCTTCATGACCAGATTTCCAGCCCAAGAATTTAATCACAGACTGGCACTCTTTTAATCTTCAAGTAGCTTATTGTAGCTGATTTTACTATTGCTGCCCTCCATCCCTCACACACAAGAGACAGGAGGACTCAAGCAAGACTTCTTTATGACAAAACATTACTACACTGGTAGATAGACTAAAAAATATCAACATTATGAGCATGTATTAAAAATATCTCAAATTACCAATAGCAAATCTCAACTTTTGAAAGCTTATAAATCATATTTTTACCACAGCCAAGTTATTAGAGAATACATAATAGAACACTATTTTACTTTCAATATTACAGAATTTTAGTCCTATCTGAAGAGTATTTGAGATTAAGTTTTAGATCACATTACCTTTAATAAACTCTAATTCAGTATTTAATTGTGCTTTCTTAATAAATAAAAACACATATAAACATACAACAGAAAACAAAAACCTCTCAATGCCATAAAATAATTTTCTCAAAAAAGACTCAATAACTGTTCATACAAAAATGTGGAGTCTGTAGGTAACACAAATGGTTAGGCATCTGGCTACTCAGCAAAAGGATGGAGGTCCTAATTCACCCACAAACACCTCTGACGATAAGCCTGGCTGACAATCTACCATTCAAAAGTTCTCACACACTAAAACCATCACACAGGGCAATGCCACTGAGTTCTAAGTGGCTCAACAATTGAAGTTTCTAACTAGCACAAATAGTTAACTTACACTCTGTTGTGAGTTAAGGGTTGAGGGTGTCAGCCCACCCACAGGTACCTACTAAGCCAGGTCTGCTAATATAACTGAGAGGCCAGTTGTAAAAATCCTGTGGAGTAAGCAGCTCTACTCAGCATACAAGAGAGTGACCAGAAGTCAGAATCCAGTAAAAAAAAAAAAATTAGAAACAGGTCAAATCACCAAAAGGAGCCCCTAGATAAAGATTACTCATTTTTCCTAAGGCTCTGATTTTTAGAAGATTAATTGAGCCTAAAAAAAAAAAACCCACCAAAAAGCTTTTTAAATTTAGAATGTATATTAACTCAGCAAACATGTCAATAATTGAAAAAAACATGATTTAATGCAAATAGGGGGAAAGAGCATGGAAATTTCAGGTACTTACATCTTCTAGTTCAGCACTGAGCAAAGACCGTGAGGTCAGGTCAAGACCTTGGAGCTGGAGCCGGGCGACTTCGAGCTCAAGGGATAGGTGAGCTGTCTGTTTCTTTTCTGCAGCCAACTTGGACTCCATCTCTATAGTCACACTTTTCAGCTTCTGCTGCCACTGTTCATTTTCAGATCTACTTTGCTTTCGGAGGTTGTCAAGTTCTTTTCTTTCAGAACTTAGTAACTGTTCAAGCTCCTGGATTTCCTTATTTTTCACAATCGTTTGATGCTCAAGTTGGTCTTCTAGCTTCTTGAGGGACTGCAGATACATGTGACAGAGGCTTTCCAGTTCTTGTATATTCTTTCCAGGAGTCGACGAAACTTCTTTCTTGATTTGACTCGCTGCCTCCGGACTACTGAAGGATATTTCACCTGCATTAGCTGGGTTCACTGAAATATCCTCCAAATTATTCAAGATAGAGATTTCTCCTGTCTGTTCCAAAAGCCCTCTGCAAAAAGATGATTCACCAAAGCTTTTTAAAAAAGGGCTGTCAGTCACACAAGAGAATGACAGTGACAGACAACGGCCCTCCTCAGGCCCTAATGTCACATCTTTCACAAGGTCATCTTGAAAGTGCCTCAGATTCACTGACAAGGCTGAATTTTCAGCCTTTAACGTGTCAACATAGGACTGCAGTTCTAACACCTCTGAGCTCATTTGGTAGTGCTGTTGATATAAAGTTTTATGTTCACTTTGTAAAGATGATAATTTCTCTTGTAACTCAGCAAAATGCATCTGAAGTTCTTTGTTTGACAAAGTCAGGTGCTCATAGATAGTACTGTCATCCAAAGGATTCAAGGACAGAGACTTCTCATTTTGTTCACCACATTCGTTTCTTGCTTTCTGCCCCACTAATTGGCCGTGGAGAAGACCATTTCCATCATTTATTACTTTCACTTCATGTACTAATTTTGTTACCTTCTCTACCATTTTGGCCGTTGCTGTAATACATTCTGACCTTGAGTCATTCAGTGCAGATGTTAGCTCACTCTTTTCACCCTGCAGCACTTCACACATGGTCTCTAGCTCATTTACTTTGGCCATTACTGTTTGTAGTGTGCACTGTAGGTGTGTAATGTCATTTTGACTGGACAGATCATGAAGCTCTGCAAGACACTTTGCGTCTGTACCAACTTCACAGACTTTAAGGTCAGTTGTGTCTTGTGCCTGAATCTCCTGCCGCAAACTGCTGGTTTCTAACACTCCTCTAATTATATCTACTTCTTGCTGCAGACTCACCTTCTCCTTCTCACTTTCCTGGAGTTTTTGTTGCATATTTCTGATCACAGCTTCTAACTGACTTACTTGTGCATTGTAACTGTCCTCCATGTCAAGATCCATGTGACTCTCAACATTACATTTATTTCTCTCACACTCTCTTTCTTTCACAGAGTCACTGACTGGCTCAAATTCTAGATTCTCAAGCCCAGTCTTAGGGTTCGTTAATTTTATCAGGTGTTCATTCTCTTCTAACAAGGTACCAACTTCCTTTGGCATGGTACTTTGGTCTACCTTTAACATCACGATTTCTTGCCTTAAACCATCAGCCTTACTCTTGGAATTGTTTGGGATGTCTGTAATCTCAGATCCCTGATTGTGTGTCACAGTACTCAAGTCCAACACTAGGCTGTGGTTTCTTTCTTCAGCTAAAGTTAATTTCTTTAAGAGCTCCTGGTGTTCCCTTTCAAATGTCTCTTTCAGTTGCTCCAACTCAGTTTTCTTATTTTCACAATCATTGAGCAACAATTCTAATCTAGAGTTCTCCTCTTTTATGGCTTCATAGTTTTCCCTAAGACTGGCAAATGCATTTTCTGTTTCTTCACATCTTTGTAGTAAAATGAGTTTTTCCTGCTTGTATTGATCAGATAACTCTAAAATGTGTCTGTCTCTTTCATTTATACAACAGGAAAAACTCTCACTTTTCTGTAGTAAGCTCATTTTCTCTTGATTTAAGGTTCCATTCATTTCCTTGAGAGTTCCATTCTCTTGGGTAAGCTCTTCAATTTGAAGTTTATTTCGAGCAAGGACAGAATTCATCTCCTCCTTCTGCAAACTCAGGCTTTCAGACAAAATTTGCAGCTCCTTTAAAGAGTGCTCAAGTAGACTATTGCTCTCTTTTAGTTCCTGACACTCGGCTCGCTGTGTTTCTAATTTTTCACTCAAAAGTTGCAGCTCTCTTTCCTTGTTCTCAAGAGCAACTAAAGTTTCAGCAACCACATTCTGATGAACAGAAGTGTCTTCTTGTAACTTATTAATGCGCTGATTTGCCTCGGTCACAAAATTTTGATGCATCTGTTCTGCTTTATTTAGATTTTCTTCTATTTCTCCTTTTATACGCACCAACTCTTCACACTGCTTCTGCAGCCCAGTGTTCATCTGCTTTTGAGACTCTAATGAAACCTCAAGTGAAATGACTCTGTTTTGTAAGGCAGCTGATTGTATGGGACTTTGGTGTGCTTCGAAAAGGCCTTCACTTTCATCTAAAGGCATAATTCCTTGTTCCCCAATCACTTCTGTAAAGGAATTATTCATTGCAGGCTGCTGTTCAGAAGCCAAAAGGCTTCTGTGATGATGATCATCTATTTCAAGAGAAGAGTCTTTGGATTTTAATAGATTTCTCAAGTTCTCATATTCAGCACTTAAGTCTTGGTACTGTTGGTCTTTGTTCATTATTTCACTCAACAGCGCCTGAAGCTTGAGTTCCAGATCTTCAATTTGCCCAGTAAGCTGGGAAGTTTTCAAGCACATATTTTCCATTTCCTTCTTATGTTTCTGGTCTGAGGACTCAGCTTTCTGCTGCAGTTCAGTATAAGCTTGTTTCAGTGCTTCTATTTCCATAGTCTTGCTGTCAATCAAATTGTGAAGGTTTCTGGTCTCAACATTGAGGTTTTCCCTTTCTATTTCCATTGTTTTCACTCTCTCATTGTATTCTTGACTTTTTATTTGCTGGGTTTTGAGACAATTTTCCAAGTGATTAATTTTACTCTGCAAACTTTCCTTTTCCGATTCCTTCTGACTTAAAAGTGGCTCCTTTTCACTTTTCCAACGAGCAAACCAAGTTTTCTCTTCATTTAATTCCTCATACTCTCTCTTTTTTAATTCTAAAGCACTGAATAAAGTTTGATATTCTTTTTCTGTTTTGCGTAACTTTTCATTCAGTTGTTCAATGTGATGTTCCCTCTTCTTCAGAAGATCTTGAGAACAATCTCGTTGTTTTTCTAAGTCAGCCAAGGTGTGCTTCAGTTTCTCTAAAGTTAGGGAGTTTCCTTGCTGGTTTATTTTTTCTTGGAGATCTCGTAATAATGTTTCTTGAGACATATTCTTAGCTATTTAAGAGAAAGAAAGAAAAATATTTTTAATAAGTACTTAATCTAAAAGCATTTTAAAGTTTAAAAATTGGTATCACAACCAAAATACTTTCTAAGAAGTCATGCTATGCCACATGAGGGGGTTCTGCAAGCAAGCCAACTATCCTGAGGGACACTCTGGAGGCAATCAGCTATGAGAAGGTTCAATTAGGCTATCTTCCTTATAACCAGGTCAGACGACCAATTTGCACATCAGGATCACTACAGACCTTCAACAGTTTCCTCCACCTTCATCCTGTCCAGGCATTATATATAATTAACTAAGCTTAAACATCATGTGAAACAGGTAATTTTAAGGATGCACTAGAAAAATCTGTGAAGAAGCTCTCCAAAGTGCTGATGAGCAATGGTGTTAAAGACTCAGGTGCACCTCATTCAAGTCAGACTCTTTTCAATTACTTGCTATGAATCTGGAAGTTGGAAAAGAATCAATGCTTTCTGGTGTTGAAAGGTACCAAATATATCCCGAGGACTGCCAAAAGAACAGACAAATACGTCTTAAGAGAAAATTCAACCAGGGTCCTTCGTGGGGCAAGGATGGTGAAACTTCATCTCATAGGCTTTTAACATGTCAGGAGAGGCCAGTCCATGTGGGGAAAAAACATGTTAAAAGTTACAGTGAAGGGAAAGGCCCTTAACGAGATAGATTGGCTCAAGGATTGTACCAATGGCCTAAAGTATATCAGAGAGGAGGAGGAAGAGAGTAGGGTTCAGATCTCTTGTTCAGGAGGTAGCTGCTATGGCTCACAATCAATTGAAAGACACCTAACACCACTGCCAGTACCTCTGTAGCCTTAGTGGTAAGGAGTTGTGTTGCCAAACCTAAGAAAGTTGGTTTGAATCAATCAGCTGCTACATAGGAGAAAGACTGAGTAATTTCTTCCAGTGCTACTTACAGTCTCTGAAAACTCACTGGAGGGTCAGTTATGAACTGGTTCCAAGTCAATGGTACATAATAATAACATATTGGTTAATCTTCTTTCCAAAACAAGAAACTATCAGTAACTATACAATATTTAATAAACTTTGCATAAAATACCAAAGATTAATCTTCTACAAGTACCTAACACTTTTATTATTTTGTGCATGACTGTGTATATTTATCTATTGATTTTTATCTCCCTATCAAAATATTTCTTTAAACAGAGACAACTGCTCTGGAGTTTGATGGCCAAGAAAAGCAATTAAAGGCTATGACAAAAATCGCTATAATTAGGCTTATAAATGAAAAGGTAAATGATGCTATTTATGTACCTTTAACTTTTAAGGCCTGTGAGTACTGAGGAAAAATAACCATTTACCTCCTAGTCCCTAACTGTAAAGATGGTTTCCCTTTAAGAATCACTGCAAAAGTTTTTCCAGTCTCACTATTACCTTGTTTTCTGTCTATTCTACTCAATGGTCCTTTCTAGAACATAACACAAGGAGAGAGCTAGAGTCCTAATTTATGACACAAATTTAGGTATCAGCCATAACTAAACATATATAAACAGAAGGCAAAATAACTGAGCCCTTATAAAAAGTATTTAGCCTTATCAAGAGACTTTACCAAAATAAATGGAGTAGAGAATAAGGGGGAGGTGGGTGGTGGGGAGCAGGAGGAATTGACAATGATGTATCCAGACTCGAGAAGAGTCTAATCACTAAATTTCATAAAAAAACAACTAAAAGAATCAGACACTGCAAAGAATATATTCCAAAAGCTAGCAAATATATGAAGAGATGCTTGCAACTATTAGCCATTGCACAGATGCAAATCGAAAATGGAATGTGACTCCATTTCACCCTAGAAATGGCACTGGGCACAAAAAACAAGTGAAGAAACAGCAAATGTAGGCAAGCTCGTAGGGAGACTAGAAACCTTATCTACTCCTGGGGGGACTGTTAAATAGTGTAATCACTATGAAAATGGTAAGGGGCTTCCTCTCAAAAATAAATAGAAATATCACATAATCTAGCAATCTCATTCCCAGGTATATCTCTTAGAGAAAGAAGACTGTAATGTAAAAAGCCCTATGTACATCCATGTTCCCTGCAGCATAATTCACAATAGCAAAATAGATGAATGCAACCTTAATGTCCATCTATGAATAATGGATAAACAAACTGTGGGGGGGTTGTGTGTGTATGTATATATATAGTAGAAAACTTTTGTTCTTGCTACTGTGTACAGATCAAGTGGGTTTCAGAGGCAGTATATCGCATGAAAGAAGACTGACCGTCTTTATTCTGAAGAAGCAGTTGGTGGATTTGAAACACATACAGATACAATGTCTTTTACAATGGCAGCACAATTCCTTACCACTAAGCTTCCAGAGCTCCCAAACCGAACAGTACACAACAATAGAGTAATAATGAAGTTGAATATAGATGAATCTGGGTAACATCTTCCCTCGTGGGAACAGCAGTTTAGTGAAGTAACTAAACCACCAAACTCACCTCTCATTTCTTCTGCAAAAGTCTGGCTCTGGTTTAAACACTGCTTGGTCTTCTTGAGTTCTTCTTCTAAGCAGCAGACTTCCTGGGTCCTTTGCTCAGACTGACTCTTCAGGCGGCTGTTTTCCTTCTTCATTTCCTAAAATATACAATTAGTTGGTCAGAAACAAAAATGCTGAGAAGTTATGGCCTCTGACTTGACAACGGTCCCTGGGGTAGAATTGTTAATCCTTTTATGTCACTTAAGAATAACTTTCATCATGTAGACATACTCACTGAAATGACTTTACAATTTTTTTTTAAAAAGGCACAAAATAAAAATCTGATATTAACTATTTCTCTCAAGAAATTTCTTTCTTTGAACTTTCTGACTATTCATATGCTCATCTGCATGTCGCAGTGAACTCGTAAGTAAAAGTCTACTTATAAGACCCTCTCGGGGGTGAATGAGCTACTTCATCTGGTTTGATTTGGTCTGTGACTAAAGCAAAAAAACCCATATGACAAATTTGTACTTCCTTTTCCCTGTACAGCCATCAGAACTGCCACTGTTCGAGGATGCCTTTATAGGTAAGATCACCTTCAATAAAAGTTTATCAGAAATACACACAATTATAAGACACAGTAGGGGAAGATAGGAAAACATTGGTGTGACACACGCCACTCTGGTGGCCTAGTGGCAAGAAACTGCACTGCAATCCCAAAGCAAAGGGTTTGAGACCACCAGCCACTCTGCAGGAAGTGGGCAATCTTCTCCAATGCAATTATCTGCCTCTGAAAACCCACCAGAAGGTTAGATAAAGGTCAGTTCCAACTCTACAGTACTCAACAACAGTGGATACACACCAAAACAAAACACAAACCGCTGCAGTGGAGTCAATCTCCACTCTAGTGCTCTAGCTCAGGAGCTCTGGTGGCCTAGTGGGTAGGGAGTATGTTGCTAACTCAAAGGTGGCACCTCTCTGGTGGTTCAAATCCAGAAGAAGCTCCATGGGAGAAAGATAAGCCATCTTCTCCCATGCAATTTACAGTCTCTGAAAACCTACTGAGGGACAGTTAAAAATAGGTTCCAACTTGACAGCAATGAGTATGAATGAGCACTCTTAAACACCCAGGAAGTGCTATGGATAACCACAGGGCTAAAAAACAAAAGAATCCATCAGAGATAGAGGAATCTGTGCAGTAAAAGCACATACCTGGAATATTTGACTAAATAAACTATTTTGATCCTCATCAATATGCAGTAATGCAGCAAAGAGACATGTCCAGACTCAAGTCTATTCTTCCAGGGAGATTTAGATCTTTTTTGAACTCTTTCAAATAAAAAGCTCTACTATTAAAAACCAACTCAAGGTGGATCAAGGACCCAGGAGGAAAACCAAAGATATAAAATTCATCAGTGCTAGGAAGAACTCTAAGAGGCCTAATCTACAACATGAACAGACTTTCAAACATAATGAAAAGCCTACAACTAACTAGAGAATAAAATCAAAGGCCTATCAAAAACCTTTTCCAAAAGAGTAAAAAAAGAAAATCAAAGACTGGGGGGGGTGGGATAGGGGGGAAATATTTGGCAATGGCATATCTGATAAGGGACGCACTTCTAAAATATATGGAATACTCGAGCACCTCAACAAGAAAATGGTAAACAACTCAATCAACAAATGGGAACAAAATATGAACAGAAACCTCACCAATAAAGAAATTCAGATGGCAAACATATCAAGAAATGCTCAAAATCTCTAGCTGTTGGGAGATTCAAATCAAAAGTATAAGTCTGCATCTCACCCCAGCAACAATAGCAAAGTCCAACAAGGCAGCAAACAAAAAATGCTGGCGAGGTTGTGGAGCGGTGGGAATCCTTATTCACTGCTAGTGGGAATATAAAATTGCACAACTGCTACGGAAGGCCTTCTGGTACTTTTTCAAAAAGTTGGAAACAGAAATACCATTTGACCCAGCACTTCTAATACTGGACATTTACTCTAGGATTACAGTGCAGCTTCTTGCCACTAAGTCACCAGAGCTCCCTGGACATATACTCGAAAGAAACCAGAGCCACAACATAGATGAGTGTGGAAGCCATTATGCTTGGTGAAATATTTCAGTCACAAAAGAAAAAATACTGCAAAACACCACTGTCATGGACTAAGACTGGCATGGGGGTTTGAGAAGGAGAATGTTGTTGTTATGTGCCGTCGAGTCACTTGCAAATCATAGCGACCCTATGTACAACAGCCCTAAACTCTGCTCTGTCCTGTGCCAATCGCACTGTCTCTGACACTCCCATCCCGATTATCCCAGTCACTGA